TTTAATTTTATGCCCTTAAAAGAATCATTTGGTTTGTCGAGATGAAACGAGCGCTTTTATTTTTGAAGAATCGAAGGAAAAAAAAAAATTAATAAATCAATTAATATCTTAAAAATATTATTATTATTATCATGATGTTGCATTTAGGGATCGTAATAGTTGTAGTATTAGCAGCTAGATTCTTGTTTCTAACTTTGATGGTAAAAATGACAGAAATATATAAAATTTTCTTTTTCATTTTCTAAAATTACACCTTTGTTCCACTAGGCTTATAAATTCAAATTGAGATATAAGTTCAATTCCAATCCAAATCACTGTATTTGTAAAGGCCCCTAACATCTTATACACGGTAAAGATGATTAGTACTACGTATTGATAACTACAATTGCACAAAAATGTCACAAGTTATAATAAATTTAATAGGTTTAAATAGTTAAACCTTTTAATTGAAAAGGAGCAAAACTAATTAAATAATCGAATAAGTTACAGGAACAAGTTAATAGATTTTTAAAAATAAATCCATCTAATCGCAAATACCAAAAAAAGTAAATTTTTTCGGAGATAAAAGACAATCCTAGAGATTGTACTTATTGAGAAATTCTATTACGATTATCACAATCAATCGTACAAGAATTATATATCGGATGTATATATATATATATATATATATATCCTATCATATACAAAGATAAAAAACCTAAACTCAATCTAGCATATTAAAGAAAAAGATAGGTAATGAATTTAAATACGTACCATGATTGCAACACTAATTTCAGAGAAGATATACAGTAAAATAGATGCAAATTAGTATGAACGTATAGAAATCAAGATACAGTGGTTGCGGAAGAAATCTGAAAATAATTGTACCAATTTACCTTTTACAACTCAACGGCACAAATTGTAGGATTTGTTTAAACCCAAGATAATCGCAAATAGTGACAAATGGTAAAATTAGGATCAGAATCAGTACAAATAAGCAATGATTTTATTAGTTTAATGTTGATATTTCGTAATCAGTTCAACCATTGAACGCTCTGAACATTATCAGTCGTTTAAGTACAAAGTTAACAAATTGAATCTATTCTTAGGTATTAGTGCATTATATTTGAAATTATCCATCAACCGTGTAATGATAATATTTTGAAATACTGATTGAATCTGTTGTATATTATTTTCCGGATCTTTTCTGTGACTACGAAAAAAGGACAATACTTAGTAGCACTTGCTCTAACTTTAATAGTTAGAAAATCGTTGTTCGTAAAATTAAATTTTATGTACAGTACAAATATGTTTACTGTACATACAAACAAACTTCACCCAAAAACTAAATGTTAACATTGTCTTGGCTTAACATATTGTAAAAAAAGGATTCTGATAGTACATTGAAATGATTTCCTCTGGTTACTTTATTTCGCCGTCTTTCATTTTGCTGACACCAATATCGCTTTGACATGAAAACTTCTCAAATCTCAATCCATTCATGATCATAAATAAGTGTTGCCAAGGGAAAACCTGAATCCGGAAAGTACAGGTTTTAAAATCAGTACGTAGTAATTCATCATGATGATATTAACCTGTACTTTCCGGATTCAGGTTTTCCCTTGGCGGCACTCAAATATACTATTACATGTATTATACAACATATAATTATGAATTATCTCCAAAAAATCTTAATATTAATTTTGCGCTACGTTCATTAAACACTAATTTATTCACAACAGACAGAGTTTTAAGATAGACTCTATCATGGTAGTACTCAACTAATTATGATAACTAAATTTATGCATATAATTAGTAGTATATTGAGTTATACGTACATTTATTGGTACGCACGAACGACTCACAAATCGGAGAAATGTAGAACCGGAATTTCCGCTTAACGTTAAAGTTAGATTTTGCGGTAGGTAACCTAACCTAATACACAAAAAAAAAAAAACGCAAATATGGATTATTATGAATGAATTACTTAATATCATGCGGAATTACATATTACATGTAAAAGTTTGATAATAAAATTTTGGTTTGAATAGGAGAAATACGTAGGAAAGCATTGTCACATAACACAGTATTTAGTAGGGTATAGTATTTATTATTATAATCTAGGGGTCTGTACATTTTTTATTTATTCATGCAAATACTCCTTAATACTGTTGTATGTGCAAAATTTTCGTTATGAATATCATCTAAATTTGGAAGAATTATGTTACGTAACTAGTACATACGTACGTAATCACGTCATATAAATAAATATGAAAGTGATGTGATGTTTTTATGCATACTGTAATAATATTGAAAAGTTGAAAATTTTTCTTTAATCTTTTTGCCACTGAAATTATCTATTCCTTTGTCTTAAGAGTGCGAATCTACTTATGAGTACGAATATAACGCCATATATCCAAGTTAGAAAATTGATAAATAAAAATGTAGTGTTATTCATAGAAACTGAAAAATTCAATGTAATTGAATCCTACGACGAGCAAGTCAGACTCTATAATGGCAAAAGAATAATATTAAGTTTGCTGAATAACGTGAAGTTTTGTAAGAATGATGTAAAAAAATTTATCAATGAGGTACGTTCGTGTGTAATAAATAGCTTTTATATACGTAATACGTTTCGATATTATTAAGAATGTGGCTTATTT